GTAACGACCTCTACCTCCACTCCTCTTCAACTGTGCATTATTAAACAATCCTGGCTTAATGTGCTTGTCATTTTTTTTTAACGAAGACAAAATCTAAGCCTTGAGAATTTGAAAAATATATGCAACCATTTAAGAATAACCCTGATAAAGATATACCACATCTCCGAAGTTCCCATTTACCCCTTTCATTCAATCTCCATAACTCATTGGTAACTACTGTTTGGATTTCTGATTTTGCCTGTTCTTCCTATAAATGAAGTCATAAAATATGAGCAACACGTGACTGAATTTATAAAGTATGCATTCTTTAGTTTGACTTCTTTTGTTCGGTATAACATTTTTGAGATTTATCTCCAATGTTCATTCCATTTTTTTATTAATAAATACAAATGCTTTGAAAGAATATATCAAAACTTATTTATCCATCCTCCTGCTGATCGAGACTTGTGTTGATTCCAGTTTTTGACTATTATGATAAAATTGTTATAAATATTTTTGAGCAAGTCTTTTTGTGGATATATGGTTTCACGTCTCCAGATAGATACTCGGAAGTTAAATTGTTGGGTAATAGAGTTAATGCATGTTTAGCTATATAAGGAACTTCCAAAGTCTTTTCTAAAGTGGTAGTACCATTTCAGACTTTACCAGCAATGTATGAAGGCTCCAGTTGCTCCATATCCTGACCAATGCTTAGATAGATTGTAACTGTTTTTACTTTTAGACATTTAAATGAATGTAGAAAGATTTAATTAGCATCTTTTTCCAACAACTAATGATGTTTAACCTTTTTAATGTGTTTATTCATATCTTCTTTTGTTAACTGTCCATTAAAACATTTTTTAAGATTTCTTTACTGTGTTGTATGTCTTCTTATTAATGAATTGTAAGAGTTCTTTATATATTCTGAATATGATATGTTTCCTACTAATGTATAGAGAATATTTTCTCTCACGTTTTAGTTTGCCTATTTTTTATGGTGCCTTTTGAAGAGCATTTTAATAATGTTCAGCTTATTGATGTTTTCTTTTATGATTTATGGTTTATGCTTTTTGTGTCCCAGCTAAGAAACAGTTACTTACTCCAGGGTCAGAAAGATATTTGTTTTCTTCTAGAAGCTTGATCATTTTAGCTTTTTCCCTTTAGATCTGAATCTATTTTGAATCTATTTTTATGTAAGGTGTTAATAAAAACAATCATTAATTTTGTCCCCATATGGATATCCAGTTCTTCCAGCATCATTTGTTAAAGTAAATTTTCCTTACCCATTGAAGTACCTCAGCACCTATGGCAAAATCAATAAGCTCTATTCGTACAGGTCAGTTTCTGCACTCACTATTCTGTTCATTTTATATATTTATCTACCGTAACTCCAACACCACTGTCTTAATTACCACAGCCCTCAAGTATTTTGAAATCAGGTAGCATAAACCTTCCAAAATTGCTGTTCTTTTTAAAAACTTACTATAGTTATTCTAGATCTTTGTAATTTCCGTATACATTTTAGAATCAAATTGTAACATCTACAGAATGTCCTACAGGAATTTTGATTGAGATTGAAGTGAATCTATAGATCAATTTAGAAGAACTAAACTGGTAACAATATTGAAACTTTCAGTCTATAGGCAAGGTGTAGTTCTACATTTTTTAGGTTCTTTTTTAAATCCCAGTGATTTTTTGTAATCTTCAATAGAGAGATAATAGATATCTTTTCTTAAATTTATTCCTGAATATTTTATTTTGGCACTATTGTAAAGGAGTTTCTATTTCATTTTCCTACTCTTTGCCGTTATTATATAAAAATATAGTTACTTTAAATTTATTCATCTATATCCTTTAGCAATTCTACACTCGCTTATTAGTTCAAGCAGTTTTGTAAATTTCTTAGAGTTTCTCATGTAAACAATCATGCCATCTGCAAATGGAGACAGTTTTACTTCTTTTCCAATCTGAGTGCCTTTTGCCCCTCTGTTTATTGCGTCAGCGAGGATCTCTGGTCCCACGTTGACTAGAGACGGCATGAGTGTGCAACTTTGCCTCCGTAAATTTAGGGTTAAGCATTCCATAGTCAATCACTGATTGTGCTCTTTATCAGCATAAAGACATTTCCTTCTATTCTTAGTTTGCTAAGGATGAAATAAATTAAGAAGAATTCTATTTATTATATTTATTCGTTACATTTACAAATTTTCAAATTTTCTTCTAAGTGCTGCTTTAGCTCCATTTCATACATTTTGACATGTGGTATTTTTATTACAATATAGTTTAAAACATTTTCTGATGTCTGATTTCTTCTTTGACCCAAGTATCACTTAGAAGCATGTTCAATTTCTAAATATTTGCAAATATTCTAAATAATTTTCTAAAATCTTATAGTTATTGATTTCAAATTCAATTCCATGTGGCTGGACAACTTACTCTATAAGATTTCAATTATTTAAAATGTATTGAGACTTGCTTAATGTCTCAATGCATTGATCTATCTTGGCAAATATAACAAAGTATACTTGAAAAAATATTTTTTCTTCAGTTGTTGAGCATTTCTCTATAAATACCAATTGAGCCATCCATGTTTTTATTGATAGTTTTTCTAGATATTTTATCACCTCCTGAGAGCAGGATGTTAATATCCCCTACTATGGTTGTGGAATTTCCTGTTTCTCACTTTGTCAACTTTTATTTCATGTATTTCGAGGCTCTGTTAGTAGACAAATCTACATTTATGATTGTTTTGTCTTCGTCATGAATTGATCTTTTTGTGATTCTGAACTGGCCCTCTATCTCTGTAATAGTCTGTCTTGATGCCTGATTTATCCAGTATTACTGTAGCCACTACAGACTTCTTATTTACTATTTGCTTGATCTTTTAAAAAAATTATTTACTTTTAATTGGTTGATATAAATATATTTAAAGTGCATTTCTTATAAACAGCATATAATTGTATATTTATCTACTCTAATAATTTCTGCTTTTTAATGAGAATGGTTAGTCTATTAAAACAATATAATTGTTTATATCATTGCATTTAAGCTTACTAATTTGTTCTTTATTTCCTGTTTGTTCTTTCTGCTTTTTGTTGTCGTGTTTCTTCTTTACTTCCTTATTTTGAAGTATTTTGAATAACTTCTAGAAATTTACTTTAATTTTTTGACTCTTTATCCATTTGCTTTATAATTTTTATTAATTCTGCTAGGAATTACAATATGCATACTCCTTTTTTTCACAATCTATTACTGTTGTCCCATCTCATGTGATGGTTAGAAAAACTGTGACCATAAGAGTATACTGACCACACTATCATCTTTTAAACTATAGTTATTTTGTGTGTTATACCAATATACATGGAAAACCCCACAAAAATGTTACAACTTTTGCTTTAAAAGGTTGTATTTTAAGTAAAGAGGAAACATAGTCTTTTATATTTCCCTTTGTATTTATCATTTTTGCTGCTTTCCGTTCCTCCCTGATGATGCAAGCTCTCCTCTGGTATTGTTTCCCTTCAGCCTTCAGACCTCCCTTCAGCATCATGGTGTAGGTATGACTGTAGGTATAATGGCAAATTATCTCAGTTTTCCTTTATTTACAACTGTCTGTATTTTGTATTCATTCTTGAAGGATATTTTTACTGGATGGAATTCTGAATGACAGTTTATTTTCTTCCACCAGTTAAAAGATGATCTTTACATAATGATAAAAAAAATCAATTTCCCCAGAAAACAAAGCCTTTATAAATGTAGATTTGTCTAATAACAGAGCCTCAGGACATATGGATCAAAAATTGATAAAATTCAAGGGTGAAATATGTAAATCCACAATTATAGTAGATTTCAACATCCCTCTCTGAGCAGTTGATAAAATACTCAGAAAATATTAAAAACACAGAAGACAATTGATATTTATAGAATACTGCCCTCAACAACGACAGAGTATACATTCTTTTCAAATACACATTGTTATGTTCACTAAGATAGACTATGTATTGGGCCACTAAACAAGTCTCACTCTTTTCTGGCTTAGATCAGTTCTAGCGAGAATTCCACAGGCTTTCAAATGGTTCATCCCTGTAGATAATGTATTGCTTTTGTTTGGCTACTTTCAAAATATTCTCCTTATTTTCACTTTTCAGAAGTTTGACTATGATGTGCCTAGGTGTAGTTTTCTTCACATTTATATTTGGGTTTCAATGAACTTCTTAAATATATAAATTTATGTCTGACGGTCCATATTGAAAGTTTTTAGAAATTGAATAGCTAAAAGTTGGGGCCAGCCCGATGGCACAGTGGTTAAGTTTGCATGTTCCGCTTCAGTGGCCTGGGGTTCACCGGTTCAGATCCTAGATGTCGACATACACACCACTTATCAAGCCATGCTGTGGCAGGTGTCCCACATGTAAAATAGAGAAAGATAGGCACAGATGTTAGCTCAGGGCCAATCTTTCTCAGCAAAAGAGGAGGATTGGTGGTGGATGTTAGCTCAGGGCTAATCTTCCTTAAAAAAAAAAAAAATAGCTAAAAGTTTTTAGCCATTCTATTTCCAAAACCTTTTTACTGACCCATTCTCTCTTCTCTCCTTTGGCACAGCAATTACCATAGCTTAGAGCTACTGGCATTACTAATAGTGTCCCTGAGGCGCTGATTATTTTTATTCGGTATCTTTTCTCTTTTTCAATTTAGATCATTTATATTGATCAAGCTTCAATTTCACTGACTCTTTCCTCAGTCATTTCCATCAGTTTATTAATCAATTCAATGACTTATTATTATTATTTTTTTTGGTGAGAAAGATTGGCCCTTAGCTAATATCTCTGCCAATCTCTCTCTATTTCTTATGTGGGACACCACCAAGTCATGGCTTGATGAGTAGTGTGTAGTTTTGAACTCAGGATCTGAACATGTGAACCCTGGGCCTCTGAAGTGGAGCCCAAGAACTTAACCACTATGCCACTGGGCCAACCCCAATTAAGTGATTTTTTTATATTTTATATTTTTTCTGTGTATTTCAGATGATGCTATCCACACCACCAGATACAAAGAGGGGGCACGTGACCTGGGCTGAGCCAATCAGTGCAGTCTCTTTCCATCCCCTTTCCTGGACCCAACAATTAGTTTAGGAAAAGGTAGGTGACATAAGTCAGGTGGTCCACTGACTGTGAACCTCAATTCCTGAAATCTATGTTGAGCTCTCTGTGACAAAGACACTCTCCACTTTTAGCCTCAGAGTTGTGATTATCTGATCCCAAACCTAAAAATTAGTACACTTTTAAAAACCTTTTCCAGTCATGCCACATCTCTACTCAAAACCCTCTGGTAGTTTTTGGTCTCATTTAGGATAAAAGCTTAGCAACATTCTTACCATGACCTACACAGCTCTAGATTAGTTCGTCATCTGAACTACCTTTCTCGTATCATTCCCTAATTCTCTACCACTCTTGCTCACTCGGCTCCAGCCACCCTGGCTTCTCAGTCATCTTCTATCAGGCACACTCCAGCTTCAGCATCTTTTCCTTGGTTTCCCTCTGCTTGGCAGGTTCTTCACTGAGATAGCCTCATGGCTCCTTTCTTGACTGCATGCCAATCTCAGCTCTAACACCTGTTTATCAGAGGTTTTTTTCTTTGACAGTCTTTCCTAGAGGTTTTTTTCTTTGACAGTCTTTCCTGGCAACCCTATCAAAAATACCTGCCCTCATCACTTTCTGCCCCTTACCCTGAATTATTTTTCTTCCTTTCACTGAATAGACACACACAAACACACACGCACTCTACCTGGTATACAAGAGACACTCAAAAGATATTTGCTGAATTAGGCCAACACAGATTACTGCTTGGAGTCTGAGATTAAAGCCAACTGAAGAAAACACAGCAAGAAACAACAACTGATGATATCACTTGAGGCTTAAATCAAGCTATGTCTGAGGCTAGACTTATATCTTTTCTCAATTTTTGAGCTAATACGTTTCTTATAAATTCCTTTTATTAATTTTTTTCTGCTTAAATGAGTTTGGATTGGGTTTTCTGTCACTTCCTTTCAGAAAAATTATAAACAATATTCTTTATTATTATTGTTAATCTTACTTTCACTTTTTATTCTATTCAAGGAATGATAATTTACATTCTCTATATTATGCATATGCCAGACAAGACAATATTAGGATGATCATTTGTTTTGTCCTTACCACCTACAAATTGGTATTTGAAGTTGTCAAAAAATTATCATGTCTACTGAGTAATTAAAGTAAAAAAATTCACTTGGTAAATATATGCACTTTTTATAATCTCCAGTGAACCTCTTAGGGAGGTGAACAATTATATCAACTTATTTGTATAAATGTGTGTGGTTTATTCTTTTAGGCAAAGATTTTTGTGCTTCATTTGCGAGAGTGGGAGGAATCATATGGAAGGACAAAAAGAAGCATTTTATAAAGTTTCAGATTTGAGCACCATAACTTACTTCACAGAAAAATGTCATGCACAACTAAACACAATAACTACAAAAAGTGATAAGCCATATAACAAAGATAAATACAGTATAAGAGGATCCAGCAAGAAGAGCTATTTAATCTGAACCTTTAGAGATAAATAGATTTTTCAAAAGGTAGAGATAAAGGATGAATACACTGGGAAAGGACAAAGAAAGCAAGCAGCAGGCTGTATTCAAGAACCAGAGTATGACTTCTGGTATGATTTAACAAGCGACAAAAGATAATTTGGAATCAGAGCTTAGGAAGTCTTGACAGCCTTGCAAAAAGGTTAAGCTATATTTTTCAGGCAGTGAAGAGCTCTCAGAGGGCTGGAAACAGGAGACAGCACACTCCAACATACGTTATAGAGCATAGCATGATTGGAAATGTATAGATTAGATTGAAGAAAGAGGATATAGAAGCCTACTGTCAAACTGATATTGGATAATGTGCACGTAACCTAGGGCTTTACGACTAAGAGTGGAGGAAAAGGGATATTTTCCAGTTTCATTTCCCTAATATACTCACTTCTTGTTCTGGCCATTCAAAATATCTGCAACTCCTTAATTTTACCGTTTTTTCCCATATAGCTTTGCCTATTACGTGCTTTTTAGAGCATCAGGAAAGCTTTTTTCTTCTGTACGCTTTGAAAATTTTTGTTTATTATTTAACACGACAGAGTTGTCTTCTCAGGGAAGGCATTCTCTCCCCACTCCACACCATTAGATACACTTCTGTGCTTCCTACATAAGGAGAAGACAAAGCAAATAAACATAATTTGAATTTAATTTCCAAAGAAAACCAAATGATTCAGATAGAGAATCACACTGTAATTCATGAAGCCAGCTCATTTAAAAAGATTATATTACTGAAATTAATTGGAAAGTGCAGCAGAATATAGCTCCTATGAAAATAGCATTGAAGTATTCATTATACAAAAGAAACAGGAGATGAGCTGTTTGTGTCTACAAACAATTTCCAACACTGTCTGAGTTTTTGTACCTTAGTTGTGGTTTACCCCTTTATAGACCCTACTATATCATTCCGTCAGTTCTTTCTTTAAGATATATCTTGGCTTTTTCATGTCTTCTATTCTTATGGTCACACCCTTGGCCCTCGTACATACCACTTTATTTCTAAATGATTACTGCATTTTAATTTTGCTAGAAACTCTTTTTTTTCTGCAACCAATAGTACAGCTCTGATTGATCTTCCTAAAGAAATGCATTCAACATGTCCCTGCAATGTTCATGATCATTCACTTCTACAATATTGTTAAACCCCCAAATGAACTGCATAATTCATAAATTCTTCAACATTCTTGTTACTCCATTAACTTAATTTCCTATTTCTTTATCCTAATCCCTTTTCCTAATACAGTAAGTCGTGTATACTCACTGCCAGCCATATATATCGCTCTGCCTTTATTCATACTATTATGCCCACATGAAATGCCCTGGGTCTTCCTGGTTTCAGTTAGAGCTAAGTCTAAACTTTCATAAGAGACCAAAAACATGGTGGCTTAAAAAATAACGTCAATTTACTTACATGTATCTCCCTTGGGTGACTGACTGGGAGGCTCTGCTCCACATGAACATTCGGTGATTCAGGTTTCTTCCATGATCTAGCTTCACCAATGTCTAGGTTCTTATCTTCATCTATCTGATCAAAGCTGGGTGCAGGCCCATCCATGGTGTAGTGGCCATGAAGAAGAATTAGGAAAAACCATGCAATTTTCTTTTAAGCAAGTAAGGTAGAAGCTGTATGTAGCAATTCTTTGCAGATCCATTTGTGAAGGTTTAATTATATTACTGTCTAACTACTGTCAAAGGAGGCCTAGAAATGTATACTGTAGATATAAAGCCATATTTCCTACTTAAACTCCATTATTATGGCAAATTTGCTGGCCAACCATCAGCCTCTGATACACTCCTCTTATTAAGTTTATACCAATCTTTAACATTTTCTAATCTTACTTCTTCTCACAGTTTCAAGTATTTCTCTGTCATCTGATAAGAAATCTTGGAAAGTGGGTCTATAGTTTACTTTTTAAAGATCAACTTTATTGTTACAATTTAACACAATTAATGATTACATTTTAAGGCACACATTGATGAGCTTTGGTAAATGTAAATATCTGTGTAATTCGAGCCACAATCAAATTATAAAACATTTCAATCACACTAAAGTTCTCCAGTGGGTCCTAGTCTCAGCTGATGCCCGGTCTGTTTTCTGTCATATATATTAATGATACATGCAGTCACAATGTGCACATTATTTTTTATCTGGCTCCTTTTGATCAGCAAAACTGTTGAGATTTACTTATAACACATACACATACATTACATAAATAAGTTTGTGGTAGTCATAATTTATTAACTTATTCAACAAAAATCTGTTAATCTACCTTTTATAAAATACTGTGCTGAATACAGTTATCAAAGCCGTTAGTTTCATCAAATCACCAGAAAGACATAAATAATAAGTAGATTCCTGAGAAGACCAAGCCTCTCCCTTATATATTCAAATTCAATTGTTCTGAAACATGGTATTCCTTACATTAAAAACCTGCACATAATGCAGAACAACCCAAAATAGTTTATGTAAATATTTTTCTGTCAAGGAGGTGGGCTACGTGATTAATTTGCTGTCTTACCAGATAGTCACAGTTACCATTAAAAGTAATGTCATGTTGATAATTTGTATGCTTGATGTAATGTGATGAGAATGACACTTTACCTCTGTGACCTTCCTCTGAAAACAGCCTAAATACACCCTAGTTATGAGATAAACTTTAGAAAAATCCTGAGTCACATTCTACAAAACACCTGAACAGTTCCCCTTAAGACTGCCAACAACATTGAAAACAAGGAAAGTCTGAGAAACTGTCATAGTCAGTAGAAGACTAAGTCATAATGAATCTGATGGTTGATTTTATGTGTCAACTTGCTTGGGTCATGGGGTGCCCAGACATTTGGTCACACATTATTCTGGGTATGTCTATGAGGGTCTTTCTGGATGAGATTGACATTTCATAGACTTGTCATATAGATTGTCATTTCATTGACAATTCATAGACTGAGTAAAGCAGATTGCCCTCCCCAATGTGTGTGAGCCGCATCCAATCAGTTGAAGACTGAATAAAACAAAAAGGCTGAGTAACAGGAAGTCCTCCTACTATTGAAGTGAGACACTGGTTTTTCAGACTTTCAGACGAGAACTGAAACATTGGCTGTCTTGGGTCTTGAGCCTGCCAGCTTTTGGACTGGAACTACACATTGGCTCTCCTGGGTCTCCAGCTTGTCAGCTGCAGATCTTAGCCTCTGTAATCACATGATTCAATTCCTTATAATCAGTCAATCTCTGGCTCATAGGCACGCTCTCTCTCTCTCTCTCTATGTATATGTAAAATCGTATTGATTATGTTTCTTTGGAGAACCCCCACCAATACAATGGCTGAATATAATGTGTTATCCTGGCTGGGATCCTAGAACAAATGAAGGACATTAGGTAAAAACTAAGGAAATCTGAATAAATTATGGACTTTAGTTAATAATCATACATGAATATTGGCTCATTCAATGTACAAATGTACCATAATAACATAAGATATTAATAATAGGGGAAACTGAGTGTGAGGTATGTGGGAACTGCCAGTA